GACGGGGTTTCACCATGTTGACCAGGATGGTCTTGATCTCTTGACCTCGTGATCCACCCACCTCGGCCTCCCAAAGTGCTGGGATTACAGGCTTGAGCCACCGCGCCCGGCCTTTTTTTTTTTTGAGACAGGGTCTTGCTCTGCAGGCTGGAGTGCAGTGGTGCGATCTCGGCTCACTGCAACCTCTGTCTCCTGGGTTTAAGTGATCCTCTCGCCTCAGCCTCCCTAGTAGCGGGGAAGAGGAGTGCAAACCACCACCATGCCTGGCTACTTTTTGTATTTTTAGTAGAGGCAGGGTTCACCATGCTGGCCAGGCTAGTCTCAAATTCCTGACCTCAAGAGATCTGCCTGCCCTGGCCTCCCAAAGGGCTGGGATCATAGGTGTGAGCTACTGCGCCCGGTCCCAGCCTCCCCTCTTGAAGCCTCCATCTTTGAATCAGAGGAGCATGAGTGATCATGGAGGACTTACTGGAGGAGGCATCTCTGAGCTGGGCATGGAAGGATGAGCAGGAATGTGCAGAGACACAGATGAGGGGAGGTGGGGAGGATAGGACAGGCCCCGCCTACTTCCCCAGGGGATCGTGAAGAATGACTCCCAGAGGAGTGGCTCATCAGCTCTAATCAGTGTTCATTCATCAAACATCCGAGCCACCCAAGAGGCCCCACCCAGCGACACTGTAGTCCTGCAGGGTTAGATGGGGGCAGGAAGAGTGGCAAGGAGGAGAGGGCACTGAGGAGACACTGGGGAAGGAGGAGGAAAGGTGTTTCTGGCAGAGGGAGCAGCATGTACGGAGGCCCTGAGGACAGTGAGATGCCATGAGGGTCAGAGGCAGCGGATCTGGTCTTAGGAATGAAACGAGCGGGCTAGGAGCAGCCCCAGCCCTGCTCCCAGGCCTCCACTAAAGCATGTATTGAGCACTTGATGTTTGCAGACTTGTTGCGTGGCTGTGACGCCAACTGTACCCTCTTCTCAGTGACAAAACAGGCTTGGCTTAGGGCTGGTGGGGGACCGTTGAGGAGATAACGGGGAGGAAGCTGAGGCAACCCCCTGCTCCTCCACCCCGCCCAGTGCCTGCAGCTCTATGCCTCAGGCCTGTCGCCAGACACTGTCATGAAGTGTGCAATGGGGGACCGCGGCATGCAGCTCATGCACACCAACGCCCAGCGGACAGATGCTCTCCAGCCACCCCACGAGTATGTGCCCTGGGTCACCGTCAATGGGGTAAGGATCTTCTTAGCCCTCAGCTTGACACCCCTAGTCCCATGGAGTCAGGGATGGACCAGACAGAGGGACCAGGGATAAAGGAGCCAAGAGTGGGAGTGGTGGCTTTGCATAGGAAAAAAGGGCACTGGGGCTGGGGTTTTGAAGGGTGAGTAGGAGTCCATCAGGCAAAAAAATGTGTGTCTTAACAAAAAACAAGAAACAAAAAAGAAAGTGTGTATTAATTCAATGTATTAAACATCCCTAGCCACCCCCTTTGGGACAGATGTGCCCACTGATTTGTGAGGTGGGAGGCGGGGACCAGACTTGGGACCACATGTAGCCCTTTCTGGGTTGGAACCAGGGTACACGGGTTGAGGCAGCTGCTGGGACTCAGCGACCCCCTGTCTTGCTTTGTGCAGAAACCCTTGGAAGATCTGAGCCAGCTCCTGGCCCTCGTCTGCCAGTTGTACCAGGTAAGCTGGGCAGGCAGCAGTGGGGTTCAGGTGGTGGGGGCGGGGTCTCCTTCCAGGACTCCAACTCGTGGCCTTCTCCTCCAGGGCAAGAAGCCAGATACCTGCCCTCCCTCAACCAGCTCCCTCAGGAGTGTCTGCTTCAAGTGATAGCTGGTGCCCTGCAGGGAGCCAATGGAAGGCAGGTGGGAACCAGGCTCCCTGCCGTTTTTTCCCATCCGGACCCTTGGCGTCTGCTGCTCACAAACTGGAAAATTTCTATGTATCCCATGAAGCCCAGACGCACAAAAGTCCACCCCATGATCAAGAATCTTGCTCCACTAAGAACGGTGCTGAAGTAAACCTAGTTGAATAAACCCTTCTGGGTGCTGTAATTTATTTGATAAGTCAGCCATTCTCCCTTCCCCAGGCCTGTGCAGGGCTGGAGCTTGGACACACCTTAGCCCAGGGAGCCCCTGTCCAAGGGAGGCAGACCCAGATAGACATGCCGAGTCTCTTGGGATCAGGGATGGACCAAAAGGGATGGGCTGGGGCTAGGGGATCCGAGAGGGAGAGAACTCTTTGCATAGAGGAAAAGGGCATTGGGGCTTGGGTTTTGAAGGGTAAATAGGAGTTCATCAGGCAGGAAATGGGTTCATTAATTCCACAAACATCCCTAGCCACCCCCATTGTGCTGACCCCATAATGGGTACTATGGATTGAGACAGACTATGGGAACTGGGACCGGACAAGGACAGAGGATGGGGCAGGGACACTGTCTGGGGAGTTTTAAATAATTTTTTCCCTAGTGAGGATGTCAGGGTGTTCCAGGAAAGGGGAACAAAAAAATGTACAAGACTCTAGCCGCAGCAAAATCTGGAGCTAGAATGCCAGTCGTAAACACCCCAAAACAGGAAGGTACATTATACAATATATCTTTTTTTTTTTTTTTTTT